TGGCAGGAACTTTCATCCCTGGCCTCCAGGTACTACATGCCAGTAAGCAACCTTCCCTGACACTGTGACAACCAACCACATCCATCCAGACACTGCTGGATGTCACCAAATTCAGAAGCACTGGTCTAGAGCACTTAGAGCAGGGTCTGGCACGTACTGAATACTCAATGTATGTGAGCTTTTATCATTTTCAAGAAGGAAAGGTACATAGAAAGATCTAAGATTCAGAACCCGACATTGTCATTGTTGGTTGCGGGATCTAATTTGGGGATGATTTGTGAATATATGTGTACCTTGGTTTCTCCATCTCTAAAAAAATGTTGATTCTTATGTAGCGTATATAATGGATCTTAAATAAAATAATATATTAAGTATTAATCTAGCTCCATGTAAGGGTACCCAAAATAATGTTTGTATCTTTAAGTCAAAGGTTGACAAACAACGGCGCTTTGGCCAGATCCGGCCTGCTATCAGTGTTTGTATAGCACACAAACTAAAATGGCTTAATTTTTTTTACTGACATGAAATTCATGTCACATAAAACGAGCCATTAAACATTCTGAAGTGTACTACTCAGTGAAAATGGCTTTTGAACTTTCAAATGGTTGAAAAAAATCAAAAGGAAAAAAATATTTCCCGACATACAAAAATTGTATGCATTTTAAATTTTGGTGTCCAGAAGTAGTTTTGTGGGAACAGAAAAAGTTTGCTGACCTCTGCTTTAAGGGATTAATAAGATGGGAGAATTGAAGCACTTGCTTGGGAAACATGTGCTTCCTCTTGTTTTGCCCTGCTTGCTGATTTTGGTGAATGACAGAGCATACTCAAAAACAGGGGGTGCTGCTATTTCTCTCTATCCATTTGGCATAGGAGGCAGGATGTGCAGCCTTGTGACCTTGGAGGCCAGTGAAGAGATCGGTACCATGAGGACCAAGGGCAGGTGACATGCACTTCCTGCTCTTGACTTCCCTTTGCTGTCTGGGGCTATTGCAGCCCTCTCTGAACCCAAACAGCTTCAGTTTGGAAGGCTTTGCCATTTCAATGTCTGGTCCTAAAGTAAGGCTGCCCTGTCTTTCTGTTCTCCATGTCACCTGTTTCTACCTATGATGTCTTTTCTGTAAGACCGCATAAAGCATTTGAGTGTCCTGTTTTCATCCCTGGTCTCAATCAGTTGACCATGGAACACTGCTCGGTCCAAGGATTAAAAAGAGATTCCCATTACAATTTAGTCCATATGCTAAACTATTACACTGCCTGGTCCATGAAGTTCGTTAGAACGTGAAACACGCACAAGCGGGAGAACTTGAAGTTATGATGCCCTTTTGAAGGCCATGTAATAGGAAAAACCCAAGGAATATTTATCTTGAGCAGATGCAGTTAAGATAAGCCCACAGATTTACGGTCAATTAATCTTCGACAAAGGAGGCAAGAATATACAATGGAGAAAAGACAGTCTCTTCAGTAAGGAGTGTTTGGAAATCTGGACAGCAGCATGTAAACCAGTAAAGTTAGAATACTCACTCACACCATACACAAAATTGAACTCGAAATGGCTTAAAGACTTAAATATAACACAAGACATGATAAACCTCCTAGACGAAAATATAGGCAAAACATTCTCTGACATAAATCTTGGCAATGTTCTCCTAGGGCAGTCTACCCAGGCAGTAGAAATAAAAACAAATATAAACAAATGGGACCTACTTAACCTTATAAGCTTTTGCACAACAAAGGAAACCATAAGTAAAACAAAACGACAACCTACGGAATAGGAGAAAAGATTTGCAAATGATGCAACTGACAAAGTTTAATTTCCAGAATATATAAACAGTTCATATAACTTAATAACCCCCCCCAAAAAACCCAATCCAAAAATGGGCAGTTGACCTAAACAAGCAATTCTCCAATGAAGACATACAAATGGCCAATAGGCACATGAAAAAATGCTCAATATCACTAATTATCAGAGAAATGCAAATCAAAACTACAGTGAGGTATCACCTCACACCAGTCAGAACGGCCATCATTCAAAAATCCATGAATGATAAATGCTGGAGAGGGTGTGGAGAAAAGGGAACCCTCCTTCACTGCTGATGGGAATGCAGTTTGGTGCAGCCACTGTGGAAAACAGTATGGAGATTCCTCAAAAGACTAGGAATAGACTTACCATATGACCCAGGAATCCCGCTGCTGGGCATATATCCCGAAGGAACCCTACTTCAGGATGACACCTGCACCCCAATGTTCATAGCAGCATTATTTACAACAGCCAAGACATGGAAGC